GAGAGAGAGAGAGAGAGAGAGAGAGAGAGAGAGAGAGAGAGAGAGAGAGAGAAAAGGAAGCAAATTATAATAACAATTTAGTTGACCCCCACCTCGCTGTTATGTCGATGGGGGCATAAAAACACTTAAATTGATTTTTTCAAAGTTTAAAAGCCAACTTTTACATAATCCAGTCCAGAGCTCTTAACTGAAATCTAGAAATAACACATTATGTCATCAAAGTCTGTAGTAATATTTAACACAGAAACATACATAATCATCAACGGTCAAATAGACAGTTATTGCTTGTTCACTTCCGCCTGTCCGCGTTAAAAAAATTATGTCTAGATCTAGCTCATGTACCCACTTGCCAATAAGTATGAAACTTTCTATGGCACTCCTGTAGGCCAGCGACAAATTGATTTTCTTTTTATTTTCTAATCCACTAATAAAGGACTTTCTCTGTCTCGGCCCTATCGGCGTAAAAAAGGATCACTACAATAAACTGAAGACGTTAACTTTGAGACGGCGACACCAAACTGTCCAACACATAGATCTATCAATGTAAGCTCGTAGATTTCCTTCCAAGACCGTCTAAACGTCTCCACGAGAGTCTCAAAAATACTCACCGTCAGTTCAAAATAGAAGTCTACATGTAAGCATGTCTGTTTGTCTTTGTTTGTCTAAGTGCCTGTCTGTCTGTCTGTTTGTCTGTCTTTACATTTGTCTGTTTGCCTGTCTGCCAGTCTGTCTGTCTATTTGTCGATCTGTCTGTCTTCCTCTCTCTCTCTCTCTCTGTCTCTCTATCTCTCTCTGTCTCTCTCTCTCTCTCTCTCTCTCTGTCTCTCTCTCCGTCTCTCTCCATCTATCTATCCATCTATCTTTCTATCTATCTATCTATATAACAATCTATAGACTGACAATTATTACACTCGCCTCATTAACAGTAGCTTTTAAATATTATGAGAAGTGCCTGCAGGTTTGCTTTCAGGGAGAAACAAGACGTTGAGCTGAAAGGAAGCGAATAAGCGAATACTACTATATTATTTTTGTTTTTACTTTTTGCAAAAGTCTAGCTCCAGACGGTTTGATCTTGTCTGAACAAAGAAGGGGATTTTGCTAATGATGAGATCTGTGGATCGTTGGCTTTGAAGTGTTGGCTGATTTGCATTGATGATTTATCTATCTATCTATCTATCTATCTATCTATCTATCTATCTCACTCACTCTCTCTCTCTTTCTCTCTCTCTCTCTCTCTCTCTCTCTCTCTCTCTCTCTCTCTCTCTCTGTCTGTCTCTCTCTCTCTCTCCAGTCGGGACAAAAGCCCAAAAGAGATGCGGCGTACATTTGAGAGATTCCAGTGAAGTCTTGAGAAGCAGCCATTGTTTAGTCTACTGATCAATACCGTTTTTAAGCCGAGTACTTTTGCGAAATATATCCTATCATTGTTGACTGCTCACTTCTTTTCAGACAGGCCAGATACAGTATGATAGTCTTCAGACATAGCTCACTCATCAGTGGTTTAGCTTCGTGCGCCTGATACTTCATAGCAGTTTGCAGACCTGTTGTTGTTCACTCTTCACGATTTACTGATGCTTAAATATGCCAAACAGAGTGTGAAAGCCTGAAAACAAAGTTCCGTTATCACTTTTGTTTCGTGGAAAGGGGAATCGGGAAAGCTTGCAGATATATTGTTTAACATTCACGTTTGGCTATTGTTTCTGACGCCAGGTACTTTACAGTAGCCTGCTAGCCTGTTATTGTTCACTGTCCACTATTGTTCCTTAAACGTTATACCGGATAATAGCCGTGAGTGGTTGGCGGGTGCTTTGATCTGGTTTTCGTCGTCTTTCCTATCAAACGTTTATAGTCCTTACCTCTCCTCATTCTTTTTCTTTTGTATTTGCTACTATCTTGTAATACCTCTAATCTTCGCCACATATATAACTTTATTGTGTTTCAAGCGCCATAAAACTCTTACTAAAAACTAGAAGGAAATAGCATGCAGGCATGTAACAGTTCGCTAATCGCTTTTCTTTCATACACCAGGTACGTTATGATAGCCTGTTACCTTTCACAATTTACTATAGTTCCATAAACCTTATTATGTTGGATAAAGGCCTGCACACTTCACTAATCCCTATTGTTTTGCACTTTAGATACTTTAAGACAGCCACCTGGCCTGTTACTGTTCACTCTTCACTATTGTTCCATAACCCTTATACAGTGTGATAGCCTGCAGGCATACATCAATTCACTATGCTATTGTTTCCTGTGCTAGGTACTTTAAGATAACCTGCGGGCCTGTTACTGTTCACTATGCACTATTGTTCCATGACCCGTATACTGCCTGCAGGACTACAATAGTTCACTAATCGCTTTTGTTTCGTACGCCAGGTACTCTAAGATAACCTGCTGGCCTGTAACTGTTACTGTTCACTATGCCCTATTGTTCCATAACCCGTGTACTGCCCACATCACTATAATTATAATAGTTCACTAATCGCTTTTGTTTCGTACGCCAGGTACTTTGTGATTGCTCACCCGCTGTCCTCCAAGTCTATGTGCACGTCACGGAATGCCAGAATTGCCCTTGTGTGTACATGGGTGGCCTCCACTCTGCTCGCCTGCCCGGCCTTTGTTGTCATGGTGAGTGTTGGTGTCTCCTTTTCAGGGTTTTTACAAATGTTTTGCTTTCGTTTGTTGGTTTTTGTTTTTGTTTTTGTTGGTTGGGTTTTTAGGGGGGGGGGGGG